AAAAAAAATTCTGTTGGGGGATGATGTTGTGGCTCAGGAGGTTGAACAGCAGCCTGTGACATCAATATCCCATATTGGCACCGAGTCAACTCCTGGTTGCACTGCTTCTGATCTAGCTCTCTACTAATGCATCTGGGAAGCAGTGGAAGATGACCCAAGTGTCGAAAATCAGGGTAGAGTTCCAGGCTGCTCTTCGCTTGGCCCAGCCCTGGCTGTTGGGGCCATTTTGCGGAATGAACCAGCAGATAGAAGATCTCTATCTCTCTCTGTAATTCTGTTTTTCAAATAAAGAAATAAATCTTTATTTTTTTAAAATATTTATTTATATGAAAGTCAGAGATATGCAGAGAGAGGAGAGGCAGAGAGAGAGGTCGGTCTTCCATCTGATGGTTCACTCCCCAGTTGGCCACAACAGCTGGAGCTGCGCCAATCTGAAGCCAGGAGCCAGGAGCCAGGAGCTTCTTCCGGGTCTCTCACATGGGTGCAGGAGCCTGAGGACTTGGGCCATCTTCCACTGCTTTCCCAGGCCATAGCAGAGAGCTGGATCGGAAGTAGAGCAGCCCATATGGGATGCCGGCACCGCAGGTGGAAGATTAACCAACTGAGCCACAGCGCCAGACTAATTTTTTTAAAGTTTTATTTCTTTGGGGCCGATGCTGTGGCTCAGTGGGTTAACACCCTGGCCTGAAGCACCAGCATCCCATATGAGTGCTGTTTCAAGTCCCGGCTGCTGCACTTCTGATCCAGCTCTCTGCTATGGCCTGGGAAAGCAGTGGAAGATGGCCCAAGTCCTCAGGCTCCTGCACCCATGTGAGAGACCCGGAAGAAGCTCCTGGCTCCTGGCTCCTGGCTCCTGGCTTCAGATTGGCGCAGCTCCAGCTGTTGTGGCCAACTGGGGAGTGAACCATCAGATGGAAGACCGACCTCTCTCTCTGCCTCTCCTCTCTCTGCATATCTCTGACTTTCATATAAATAAATATTTTAAAAAAATAAAGATTTATTTCTTTATTTGAAAAACAGAATTACAGAGAGAGATAGAGATCTTCTATCTGCTGGTTCATTCCGCAAAATGGCCCCAACAGCCAGGGCTGGGCCAAGCGAAGAGCAGCCTGGAACTCTACCCTGATTTTCGACACTTGGGTCATCTTCCACTGCTTCCCAGATGCATTAGTAGAGAGCTAGATCAGAAGCAGTGCAACCAGGAGTTGACTCGGTGCCAATATGGGATATTGATGTCACAGGCTGCTGTTCAACCTCCTGAGCCACAACATCATCCCCCAACAGAATTTTTTTTAAAGGAGAATTAGTGGTATGTATGTATGTATGCTGAGGTAAAGAGAGAAATTTTAACAGGTGATTCCATTAGAAGAGCAAAAAATGGGATATAGTATGCAAGCGGGAAGGTTGGGCTTGGCTGGAGACTAGGAAAGTTCAACCAAAGTAACAACAGAGAAGACAGAACATGTGGGTAGGTACAGGTCAACGAGTAGATGTGGATGAGAGCTTGTGGAAGTCTCTTCTGATTGATTCTCTATGGGCACGGAAGTAAGAGGTCAGGTCAATGGCTCGATGTGGGGTGGGGAGGAAGTTGAGGAAAGCTGAGCAGTAATGAAGGCTTGAGAAGAGTGGAGGTATAAAATAATCATTTAGAAAAATGGAGGTGGTGAAACCTGGGAAATACTCATTGATTGCAGGGCAGCCGTGAGGCCCACTTAACACTCATGATCATGAGCTTCGAGTGAGAACATATAGTTGTGTATTTCTTGGTAGTCACATTCAGCTGTCTGATGCAGGCAAGTCTAAGTAGACAGTTGGATTTACTCATATTCTACTCATATTTGAAACCATATTGTAGCTAGAAGAAAAGCAAAAGAAGGCAGGAGCGTAGAGGGCTCCTACAAGAGAGTAATAATTATTGTCAAGAGAATTGAAGCAGGTTTAGGCAGGAAGGGATGCTACGACAAGGATGAGAGATAGTGAAAGGCCGGCGCTGAGGCTCACTAGGCTAATCCTCCACCTTGAGGCACGGGCACACCGGGTTCTAGTCCCGGTCGGGGCGCCGGATTCTGTCCCAGTTGCCCCTCTTCCAGGCCAGCTCTCTGCTGTGGCCAGGGAGTGCAGTGGAGGATGGCCCAAGTGCTTGAGCCCTGCACCCCATGGGAGACCAGGAGAAGCACCTGGCTCCTGCCATCGGATCAGCACGGTGCGCCGGCCGCAGTGCAGCAGCCATTGGAGGGTGAACCAACGGCAAAAGGAAGACCTTTCTCTCTGTCTCTCTCTCTCACTGTCCACTCTGCCTGTCAAAATAAATAAACAAACAAATAAATAAATAAAAGAGAGATAGTGAAAAAGCTGGTGAAAGCATAACTCAGTAGGTTCAAAGAATTACTGATACTGGAGTATTAGAGTGAACTTCAGATATTGAAGGAGATGGTCAGAGATTGGGATGGTTGAAATGGACATTACAAAAAAGGTGTCACTGGGCTAGTAGTGTGGTATAGTAGGTAAAGCTGTTGCCCACAATGCCAGCATCCCACATGGGTACCGGTTCAATTATCAGAGCAGCTGTTCAGCCAAGAGGTTCAGATGCCCACGTCCTACATTAGAGTGCCTGAGTTTGATGTCCAGCTCTGGTTTCTGACTCTAGCTTCCTGCCAGTGTAGCCCCTGGGAGGCAGCCGTGATGGTCCAAGTAATTGGCCTCCTGAGTTCCCAACTCCCAGCTTTGTTCTGGCCCAGCCCTGGCTGTTGAGGGCATTTAGGGAGTGAACCAGCAGATGGGAGCTCTCTTTCTCTCTCCCTCTCTCTCTGTATCTTTACCTTTCAAGGAAATTTTTTTTTTTAGTTGCTGGTATTGACATGACAAGGTCTAAGTCTTGAGTGGGTAAGTAGATGAGACAGAATGAAGATGAAGATCACTGGAGAACACCAGATTAAAAACCAGAGTGGTTTTCAGTTTCTGTATTTTATGATGCTTTGACATCGTGGGGCCTTGCAGACCTCAGGAGGGACTGCCTTTCTAAAAGTAGTTAATTCCTAGAGATAGCAAGTAATCTGACTGTTAATATACCTTTGGCATGCAAACCAACCAATACTGAGTGTGGGGAGCAACCGAGACTAGACTAAATTACTGGAACTGCTAAGACTAACACTATGCATCTGATCTCCCACCATGTGGCGCTGAGAGAGAGTAAACAACTTCCACACAGCTGCCTCACCAATTCGACTAACAAGCTGCAGGAGCTGATCCTGCTCCTGATTGGAGGAGAGCAGCGTGCTCAGCGCGTGGGGAGAGAATGCCAGCAGAGTTGGGATTGGTGGAAGAGGATTATAAAGGAGGAGAGAGACAACATGCAGCAGGAACATCTGAGCAACCCCTGAGAGAGCCGGCCAGTGGTGTGCCGCTCCTCTGCGGAAGTGGGGGAAGCGGCAGGGGTGCCGCCCCTCCGCGGAGGCGGGGGGAAGCAGCAGCAAACCCGGGACGGTGTTGTTCCTCCGCGAGTGGGGGTGTGGCAGCAAACCCGGGAAGGGCTGGGGAA